AGTTAAGTTTTTATATGAAAAGAAATATAAATAAAAAACAAAAAACAAAATAATATAAAAATATAAAATTTCTTGTAAAAATCTTTTTTATATGTGATCAAAAAATTAGTGAAAAAAATTTTTTATTAAATTTAATTATATTTATTAATGGTTTCTCTTATTAATATTATTATCTAAATCATTAAAAAACTTATTTATATACAATTAAAATAGAAAGTTAAATACAGTATATACAATATATATATTAAATCTTATATGGAGATTGTTCAGAGAATTAAGGCAACGCCAACTCAATGATTGGTTACTATTTAGATGTTGACAATTGGACCTTTGTGACGTATGACCAAAAATCTTCATACACCATTTACCTTTCATAATATACTAATAAGTTAAAATTTTTTTATTAATACACATTTACCCATTTTCTATTTTTCTTTAAAAACAAATACATACCTACTCTCTGTCATTTCCAGCTAAATCTAGAGAAAGAAAAAAACAAAAAAAAAAAAAAAATTTCAATTATGAGCAATGGCAATCCCAACAGTACACGCCTAGAACAGCAATTTGGTACGTATTAAGCAAACCGCAGTTCTTTGCAATAACTCGAGTATCAAACGGATTTGCTTACTCATCTGGTTATATTTTTCTTTCACCATATTTCCTATGTGGATCTTGCTTTCCATTCGTCGTTCTCTTTTTCCATCGTCATTCTTTAAATTTTTGCGGAATTTCGTCTTAATCTACTACATAAATTTGGGAACGCAGCTAATTTAGGCCTGAAGGAGAATCAAAGTTCGGGGAAACCTACCGCTGGTCGTTATGTTCCTCCACATCTAAGAAATCGCGAACAGCCTCAACAACAGCCTGCGCAACAACAACGGCGTCCACATTCACAAAAAAATGATAACGATAATGATCAATTTAATGCTCAGTATAGTAACGAGTCTGACGAGTTAGTTCCACCTCTTCAGCCACGTCGTGCTAACGGATGGCATCAAAGGAATGAAAGGTATGTGATTGCGTTCTTCACTTTTTCTTCAGAGTAGCGGATCTCACGTAGGATTATCTCCTTTGAATCTGTTTTTTATATGAACGTTCGGATATATTACTTCGATTCCAAAAAAATATACATGAGATTAATCATACATTGTATGACCTGATTAAAGTACAATCAGGAACACATAATAGAGATGATCTTTGTCGACTGATTATAATTACTATTACAATTTGATAGTGCATCACCTACTGTTAATTGGGACAGTCGTCATGGGTCTTTCCCACGTGCCGATGCTTGGGGTGGTAGCCGTAGTGAAATGGGTTATTCGAGTCCTCAACGCAGTGGTTGGAGTGATCGCGCATCATCTCAAGGCGATCGCTATTCTGGTTATCGCTCTGGCGTAAGATATTCTAGTGGTCATGGTCGTGGTGGATCCTTTCCCGAAGAAGGGTTTGGTCGTCGAGAAGATGGATATGGATTTTGGCGTGAAGGTGTTCACCATATTGGTCAAAAAAATCAACGCACAGAACGAGACTTGTTTGGTTCGCCAGATGACCCCGACCGGCAACATACCGGTATCCATTTCGAAAAGTATGACGACATTCCCGTTGAAGCCAGCGGAAATAACGTTCCAGAATGTGTTTCAGACGTGAGTCCACCAACATATATATACACATATATATATACGTATATTCCGTATAAAAAATGGTGTGCATTATCTTTTATTTTTAATATAATAGTTCACAAGCCCTCCGTTGGATCCCCATCTCATCAGCAACATCGGACTTGCACGATATTCTGTACCTACTCCTGTACAGAAATATTCAATACCAATCGTTTCAAGTGGCCGTGATCTTATGGCTTGTGCTCAAACCGGTTCAGGAAAAACCGGAGGGTTCTTATTTCCAATTTTATCTGAACTATTTAAACAAGGACCCGCACCTCCCCCTCCCGAGCAACCGGGTTATTCTCGCGGAATGTCTCGCAATCGTAAGGCTTATCCGGTCGGTCTTGTTCTTGCACCCACCCGTGAATTGGCTTCTCAAATTTATGATGAGGCTCGAAAATTTGCTTATCGTTCTTGGGTTAGGCCTTGTGTTGTGTATGGAGGTGCCGATATTAATTCTCAAATACGGCAAATTGACCGTGGTTGCGATCTATTAACTGCTACCCCTGGACGTCTTGTCGACTTAATTGAGCGTGGTCGGGTGAGCTTATCTCAAACCCGATATTTGGTGCTCGATGAAGCTGATCGTATGCTAGACATGGGTTTTGAACCTCAGATTCGTCGCATTGTTGAACAAGAAGGTTTACACATTTATGCATTATGTCTATTTACACCTTAAAATTCCAAAGAAATATTCCTTTAACTTAAAAAATTCTATTAGATATGCCAGGCGTTGATCACAGACAGACACTTATGTTTAGTGCCACCTTCCCTCGAGACATTCAAATACTTGCCCGGGATTTTTTGAAGGACTACGTTTTCCTGAGCGTCGGACGTGTTGGTAGTACAAGCGAGAATATCACTCAAAAGATAGAATTCGTTGAAGATGATGACAAGCGGTCGGTTCTATTGGATATTCTTCATGCGCAACCGGAAAGCGGACTCACTCTGATCTTTGTCGAAACTAAGCGTATGGCCGATGCGCTATCTGAATTTCTCATAAATTCTAATTATCCGGCCACTTCAATTCATGGAGATCGATCGCAACGAGAACGAGAACGCGCGTTAGAATCTTTCCGTACGGGTCGCACCCCTATCATGGTGGCGACTGCAGTTGCTGCTCGTGGATTGGATATTCCAAATGTTACTCACGTCATCAATTATGATTTACCTACCGATATTGATGATTATGTGCATCGCATCGGTCGCACAGGTCGCGCTGGTAATGCTGGTCAGTCGACAGCATTTTTCAACCGTGGTAACAAAGGTTTAGTAAGAGATCTGATTGATCTGTTAAAGGAGGCCAATCAAGAAATACCCGTCTGGTTAGAAAATATAGCGAGGGAGAACTCAGGTTTCGGTCCACGTAGTGGGGGTCGAGGTCGTGGCCGAGGCCAAAACCGTGATTATCGTAAATTTGGTAGCAGTAGCGAACGGGGAGGCTATGGATCAAATCAAGAGTAAGTAAAGTTTTTTTTTTTTTAATATATATATATATGTATACCCGAGTGTATTCTGTCTTTACTCAACATTCTGTGCTCTTTATTCTCAACTATAAGTAGTGGCTTTTATTATAGTGGCTCCAGTTACGGAGGTGGATATGGTGGTGGTAATTATGGTTCCTCAGCTAAGCAAAGTTGGTGGTAATTACATCCACCGCTTTAGAAAGGGAAATCACTCGGAAAAAAGATTGAGGAAATGCGGAAATGATGTAAAACATGGGTATTATGTTCAAGGAAATGTGCGTGAATATTGGGGTGTGGTTTATACCATCAGCGATGATGAGTAGGTGGAATGGGTTGAAGTAAAAAGTGAAAATTATCTTAAAAGAAACAATGTGCATTTATTTGATTCATTTTTGTTTTTTATATTACAAAATTTTTAGATTGCTTCAAAAAAAAAAAAAAAAAATGTATGGACGTTGTTTTTGGTCAACCTTCACCCCCTATATTATTACAATTATTTGCTAATGCTAATTAATGAATATCATACAATATTCCGTATTTTCTTATTTATACAAAGTATTTTTCCTTTTTTTTTTTTTTTTTTTTTTTTTTTTTTTTTTTTTTTTTTTTTTTTTTTTTTTTTTTTTTTTTTTTTT